AATATGAAGATATTGTAAAGGCATTATTAGTGACAACACTGTATTTGCCTGACTGGCTCATGTGCTCTTGAAGTTCTATGTCCCAGGTTCTTTGTTTGAGTGCTTTAGCGCCGACATGCCCCATCGCCAAAAGAACATTGGTGGAAAAGCCCATTTGCCTTATTTCTCTTGTAAGTTGTAGTTTCCATTCTGATTGAAGGGAGTCAAAAAGTGACATCTGTGCCAAGCCTTCTGGAGAGAAGAGAAGCTTTAGTCAGTAATTAAACATGTGGACTTTCGCGTGTCCTCTTATGGCGATTAGGCAGTCTCCAAACAAAGGGCTACATTAGGTGTACAGGGGCGCAAAGTCAGAATAGATCTCAAAAATTTGGTTTGAACTACCTCAAGAGGACGTAGGTCAGATCAAGCAAACAATTGGCACCCATAGAGCATTTGAACAACAATTTTAGCCTTGAAAACCTGAATGGCTGAGGGGATATGGTGACCCCCCCCCCCTTTGGTGTGAAAAAATATTGTGAATGCCGCCACACTTTTATGAACATTCAGTGCTGCATGTTTTATGTGGGGAGCCCAGGAACCCAAGGCGTGAAAGATTATGCCCAGGTATTTGTAGCTGGAAACTTGCTCTATGGGATGACCATTGATGGCCCAATTGTGCTTTGGATAAGCTTTTTATACGTCCAAGGATATACACTTTTCATTTCATTGTCTTCTAGTTGTTGGAAAGATCTGGTTCTGCTCCCAGTTTAGTCTTAAACACTTCACTGTTGTATTTCTGGGCATTACTATAAACATTAATGCTGAAATCGAAATCCTGTTTTTTAGGCATTTATAACTTGGCTAAGGGGATACATTCTTCTCTACTTCCTCAAAGGTCAGTTTGGTTGTTTAGTAACATGTGGTTTTCTTCTAAAAACAGAAACTTATCAACCCATATTTTTGGTTCTGCAGTTAAACATCTGGTAAGGAGACAACATTGGTATGATTAGTTTTTTGCTTGCATTTCAGGATGGGATTTTGTGTGAAGACTTTGAGGTGTACTGTACTTGGTGTTCTACTCTGCACACTTTGCTTTAATTTGTGATGGGGCTTGTTAAGAAAGTTTTAAGTATTGTAGGTGCCAGTGTAATCTGGTGGTCCTCAGCTAGTCTGAGGTAGGATTTGTCTCTGAACCTTGCCAAAAGCTGGAGTCCTGTCCTATTGTTAGATATCTGTGTTCCCCCTCTCTTTCACATTTAAACACACATGGATACCACTGTTCTTTCAAATCTTTTGCTTTGACTGCTGAAAGTAGAATCCGTGCCTTGAGACATTTTAGGTATTTTCCACTTTTGAACTGAGAGTGTTTCATCTTATCATCTAGCAATTGGGAAGAAAGAAAAATGAGCATACAACAAACAAACACACAAAAAACAATTATGTGCTTTTAAATTGATACACCATATGTGCCAACCCTCTCAGGGTTTTCTACATATAAAGCACTCAGATGTGGTTTACCAGTCTGTCCTTCCAGTGGAGCTCTGGAACCGACCCTGCAGCTAATTAGCTAGCTATAGATGTATATTCTTTGTGTTTGTTGCAGTAATATAGTAACTTTGACCTTTAGTGTTTTGTTAAGGATGTAAGACCTATCTGTGTTGAAAATCAAAGCACAATTTAAGCCACATTTGCATTAAATGTTCTCGAAACTGTTTCTGAAGGAGATCTGTTTATGTCAGAGAAATACTTTCTCATGTCAGATTAAAAAGCAAGCAAATTTTAATGTGAGCTTTTATGGATCAAATTCATTTCCTCAAACAGATGAGTGAGACTATTTGACTGTTGTATTTATATATGGCCCCATGAAAAGATGGGGAAACAGATAATGGACAAAGAGACAGTAATGGAATACACTATTAGACTGAAAAAATTCAGGGTAGTGATGGCGTTGACAGAAGTGGCAGACTGTAAGGATCAGTGTAGGATTGTTCATGACTTAAAAACCCTTGATTGAGATTCAGCAGTTTAAGTGAGTTTCTAGTATCTGTATATACCTTATCGTAGCTGCTTTTCTTTCCAATCTTGTTTTGTAGTGTGTGTTTTTCAAATTGGGTCATTCAAAGATGATACAGGTAGATTGAAATGCTTTGAAACAGGTTTTTGGGTTTATATCCAATAATTCTTTTGCATAGAGATTGCCCTTTTTGTCTTATGTAGAATGCAGAAGGGCATTGTTAGTTTGAAAAATGGCATATATCACATTAGGAGAGGAACACATAGAAGCATTTAAAAACTTCAACAAAAAAGGCAATAAAGCAGAGAGGAATAATATAATTCCCATGGGAACCATGAAGTGTTTACCTGCTCTGTATTAAATACGTTTGTCATTAAAACTGTGTCATAGGGTGGAGTGAAGCATAATGAAATGCTTTTACAGCACTTTAAAATGGTTTCTTGTACCTTGTTCTTAAATATAGCACTATCTTTTATGTACCTAGTACATTTCATTTGCACAATATTTTAATTCATCAACAGATTTCAGTAGTCTTAGCACATTTTAACATAGCTTTTATGACGTACTTTGGGTATTAGCTGAGTACAGTTAAAAATACTGTCTTGATTATTCTATGCCATTTCTTGTTAATTAAGAATGTTTGCTTTAAAAAAGCCTTAGAGTTAGTGATCTCCTAAATAAGTTTATTTACCCAAGTACAGTAGTATTTACCTTGTATATCTGTAGCTTTAATGCTGCAGATAGGTTTTTTAAAAAAAATTCCATTCTCCTCTGTAGAATTTAAGTAGCCAAGCTGCATACCAAATGGTAGTCTTTGAAAGGTAGCATTTCTCACCCTAAAGAAAACAGCATCCAAATTTTGCACTTGGAATACATGCCTGCTCTAAGTGAACATGCAGTTGTTATCTTTCTTTACATAATATGTTACAATCTGCTTCTGGAATTCAAGTTCCTGAAAGATTAGAAATAGGATTGGGATGGAGTAGGATGAAGGAAATGAAGATTTGGTATGAGAGGATATGAGAATTAATTTAGCCATCCAGCGGAGTTTATGACTGAGCTTGAGAGATGTTTAATAACAATGCCAACTGGATGTGTTATGCACATGTGTGGAAGTATGAAGACTGTGCTGAGTGGCAAAAAGTACTACAAAACTGATACAGCCCTTTGGCTTAGATTGAGAAGTTGCCATGCTTTTAGAGTATTTATTAGTTGCTGAACTTTTAGAGTATTTATTAGGAATCCTGACTAGATAAGCTATTGTACATTGAGTAGTCTCCGTTTCATAGCATGGTATGGAACATTATGAATTCTTGGCATAGATTTTGAGGAGATAATGATTTTTACATAGTATGACAGTACAGGTATCTCTGTGACATCTTTGTGGATGGCTGTGAAAACTGAAAGTCTGTGCAACAGAATAGTACAAAGCAGAAGAAAAATAAATGTAGAAAACCTGATCTAAAGTGTTTGCATAGGTTTATAGTAAATAAGACAATGTTGTATTCAGAGTAGTTAATCTGAAAATACTGCTAGTTACACACTTCTGGATGGTGGTATAAAAATCAGGATTTGTTTAGCAAAGCTAGAACAAATCTTGGCATATGTTCTAAGGGGATACAAATTTTCAGGTTTTATTGCTGGCAGAGCTGCTATGATGAGGACTGGTGAATTATTCAAGGTATTAATATTTTATTCTTTCATGTTGCAGACTGTGACCAAAGCACTGTTTACATTACAATCATTGGTTCTAGATCAGCCTTCCAAAAATTGGTGTTTTCCAAATGTGTTACCCTGTAACTCTCATCAGCAGCAATGGTCACAGTAGATTGAGTTGGTGGGCATTATGGTCTAGTTGAGTTGGATAGGGTGGGTTGGTCTAGATAAGGCAAAGTAGTTGATGCAAAAATACATGTCTATTTTTATTGAGCCAAAGCTGTGATATTATGATAATTTTAAAATATTTGAACGGCCAGATTCCTATTGTGTGTTTACACTGACATACATGCAGTGGTATGAATCACAGTGATGAATTGCCACCAGTAATTGCCTGTATTCCTTGTTGCACATCAGTTCATGTGACTGGGATATGATGAGGAATAAACTGGTGACTTGTTAACTAGTGGCAATTTGCAGCTGAATTTTGCTGGTATGAATAACCAATAGGGTTTTGTCTGTTGTTTGCCAAAACAGTGGCCAAAATTCCTAGATCAGTCTGTTCAGCCATTCACAAATGCCTTTTCTTTCTTTTTACAGAGGAAAATTTGCTTGTTTTATTTTGTTTTTTTATTTTATTTTTTTAAATATTTTTTTATTTATTTATAACTATGACAGAAACAAATCATATACATAAAACAGCCATTCACAAGTGCCCTTTCTTTCTTTTTACAGAGGAAAATTTGCTGTGGTTAGAAAATGTGTTGCAAAATCCACAGGCCAGGAGTATGCAGCTAAGTTTTTGAAAAAGAGGAGAAGAGGCCAAGACTGCAAAGCAGAGATCCTGCATGAAATTGCTGTTCTAGAAGTAACAAAGCCAAGTCCCCGTGTAGTAAATCTCCATGAAGTGTATGAAACAACACATGAAATCATTCTAGTATTGGAATAGTAAGTATACATCATCACTATGTTTGATAGCTCCATTAATGGATTTGTTGTTTGTATCAGTTGACCAACCATTACTCACTTGTTCATCTTTCTGGCAGTCCAGGGTATCTGCAAAGCTATTCTCCAGCACTCCATTTCAAAGGAATCATTTTTTTCCTGTCAGCTTTCTCATGAGTAACGTAGAAACCTTTTGGTGGGTGGTGGTAGGCCATTGTTAACTCACCTTTTTTGTTGTGGTAATACCGTGGTGCCTCGTATAGCGATTGCTCCGCATAGCGAAGAAATCGCTTTGCGATGCTGTTTTTGCGATTGCTTTGCGATGACCCCATTGGGAAAATTTGCTTTGCGATGATCGCGGGGAAGCGATCATTGCAAACGCCCCATTTTCACCAGCTGATCGGCGGGGCCTTTGCGATGATTGCGGGGAAACGATCATCGCAAATGCCCCATTTTCGGCCAGCTGATTGGCGGTTCCAAAATGGCCGCCCACTGTGTTGCCTCGCTTTAGAGGCACCAAAAATGGCCGCCGCAATGGAGGATTTTCGCTTAAGGTTAGTTTAAGAGCCCGTGGGAACGCATTGAAGGGGTTTAAATGCGTTTCCATCGGCTTTTAAAAATCGCTTAGCGACGATTTTTGCTGCACGGATTAACGTTGCTAAGCGAGGCACCACTGTACTTGTAGTCATAACCACCAAAAGGTCATTGCCCTAGGTATGGATAGAACTCTAGGTGAGGCTCTGAGATACCTGTCCAAAGTCCTTCAGGGCAAGGAGTAGTTTTCTGTGCAGAACAGCAGAACTTGCCTTCTGTTTGTCTCTGCTCACAAGTATTCTTGCATGGAGGCATAATCTGGCTGCATTTTCTGTACCTCTCAGTGGAATATTGCTATGGGAAGAGTTTCTGCAATTAGTAGCCTCTATTTGGGATGCTTTTTATTCAGGTTCAGTTTGAAAGACTAGCAGTTCCACAAAACAGAGTTTTAAAAAAACTTCCTTCAGAGGCTTCATAGCAGACACAGTAGTGCAGGTTAATAGTTTTCGAACAAGAAATGGTAGCATAGAATGGTGCTTTCGATAACACATAAGGGTGCATGGGGGAGGCATCTTCCAAATGTTCGAGTTGTATATATCTCAGCATAGGAGAGGCCATGGCTGCATTCTAGCAGCAGATGGGACTAAAGGGTGCAAGCAAAGTTTGTGGTGTGTGTGTGTGTCAGATGTAATTCTTACAAACTGGGATGTTTCCCACCAAAAGACATTTAAGCTCTGAAAAAATCTACTTAGAAACAAGCAAACGGCCTCAGGCCTAGAAAGCATACCTCAGTCTTGTGTAATATCCGTTCAATATCAGTTATGTACAAATAACCATGTGGCCATCTGCCCTAGCAGTAGGAGGTACAGTTAAACAAAGCTGCAGAAATACTATCTTCCTCACTCACATTATTTTTTTCTCTCTCTCTCCCTCTCTCTCTCTCTCTCTCTCTGTGTGTGTGTCTGTCTGAGTATGAGCACTTGGATGTGTGCATGTGAATCTTGGGATAAAATTGAATAAATTTTGTCAGTGCAATGCCTGGCATTCATTTTGTTTTCATCTTGTCTCAAAATGCATTTGAATCTTTAAAACACTGTAACTCAATAAGAGCATGTTGGGCAAGGTATGTGGCGATAGTGCCAAAATCAAAATGTAATTCAAAAAAATACAAGGGATAATTTTTAGCATATCTTGAAAAGATGTGGCCAATGAACAGTTCATAGTAGGTGGCATGTACTTTTAAGATTCTTAGGTGAAAAGTGGTCCAGGATAAAAGCACTTTGTGTTGCATTCAAGGGGCATTCCTAGATGGTTCACAGAAAATAAACTATCTTACTATTTGGCAACATAGTGTGTTTTCTTGCTTTTTTTCCTGTTTAGTTTGGAAGTCTGTTACTTTGCAAATAAAACATGAGTTTCCTTTGTGGTCAGTAACACACTGTGCTGAGATTTCAATTTCTATTAAAACCTGTTTCTTTGTTTTCTGGTATCTGTTGGCATTCTTGAAAGGGATGCCATTTAACTGAGCTCACAAATGTGAAGCTTGCATATGATTTTGTGTGTATCACTGGTTTTTGTTTTCCCTCAGAGATAATTTGCTCTTATCCAAAGCGTAGAAAAATCTAAACAGATGCTTATAGTTTTTCGTGCACCTTCACCAGTGTCATTTAACTTAAACAATATTTGAAGGCATATTCATATCAAAGGATTATTAACTATAAAACAATACAGCTATTACGATCTACTATTTAGCTAAATTGATCTCTGTGTGTAGACCGGAGATTTTCACATTTGAAAGTGAGATGTTTAAACTTCTTTTTGTGCATAATTTTTTTAGTGCCGCTGGAGGAGAGATATTTAATTTATGTCTTCCTGACCTAGAAGAAACCATACATGAAACTGATATTATTAGGCTTGTACGACAAATACTCGAAGGCATCTCTCATCTGCATCAGAACAATATTGTCCATCTTGATTTAAAGGTAATATAATGTATGAATATTAAATACTCTCTTATGTATGCACTTGCATTTATAACCCAATAATAATAACTAAATACCATCAAGTTGATTGCAACTTATGGTGACTCTTTCCAAGATTTTCTAGGTAATGGTTCTCTATTTCCTGCTACTGGATGAATCCTGGGACTATGCAGCTTTCCCAAGGATATAGAGGTTGGCTCTTTAGGGAGGCACAGTGAGGATCTAAACTCCCAACCTCTGGTTCCGCAGCTAGAAACCTAACTCATTGAGCTGTATAGCCACCTCTGTTCATTAATAACAATGACAACAACAAGAAAACCAACCAAAAAACAAATGTTGAAAATGTTTAGAGTGAAGTAGCACATTATTATAATTTACTAGACTAAAGAAGCCAGTGGCAAGGAATAACCATAGGTAGACTCTACTGATGTGTCGAAGGTTGCAAGTTGGTTACATTCTGCATTAGATGAAGTTATTACAGGCACTTTTAAGGCATTTGTATTTATAGCCATTATTGGCACAAAGATCTTACAGCAACATTACATTGGATATCATAGTTTGTGTTATAAATGAGAGTGAATAAAGTGCAGAGATAAGGAAATCATGATAGCAACTTAATCAACGAGCGATGTCAAGGCAACAGTTTCATATGCTGTTTGGCTTTCGAATGCATTTATATTGTATGTTTTTTTAAAATTGTGTTTGTTCACTGCCATAGAAATCCTTGTAAGCTGGAAATGTAGAATGTTAATTTTAATATGTGGATCTGTATTTTGCTAATGTAGGATTTTTAAATGGCTAAGACTCATTGTCATAAAATGAATAGAGTTTTCAGTAAGAAACCATCTGGATTACTGTAATGTGCTGTATGTTGGGCTTCCTTGGAAGAGTGTTTAGAAACATCAACTGGTTCAAAATGCTGTAGTCAGATTACTGAATAGTGGTTAATGACTACTGACTGCTGATTGAAGGGGTCACACAACTCCTATGTTACAATAAATTCATTGTCTGCCAGTCCATTTCTGAGCCTAATTCAAAATGATTGTTATAGCCTATAAAGCCCTACATGGCTTGAGTTAGACATGGATAAAATATCCTATCTCCCTATATAAACCTGTCTGGATTTTAAGATCTTCAGAGCTGGCCCCTCTCTCAGTCTTGCTGCTTTCACAGGCACGTTTGATAAAGACACAGGAGGGGCCCTTTTCCATGAGAGCTCCCATTTATGGAATACCTTCCTTGGGCCAGGTTGGTCCCCAGTTACTCCTTCAGGAACCAGGCAAGGACTTTTCCTTTTAGGCAGACTGAAAGGGTTTATATTGAAAACGTTTAAATACTGGTGATATGCTTAATTTGTAAAATAGTATAGGTTAATATGTTTTTAGTTGCACTTGTTTAATAGAGAGCCACCATGGGCACTTAAACCAGAAGAAAGGTGGCAGAGTAGTAAAATAAAATAAACAAATTCAGTGACTTCTCTGTGTTGGTGATATGCAGATTATTGTGGGACTCCATCAGTAGTCTTTGAACAAATCACAAAAAAAAATATTTCTTTAATAGATTGTGAATTGTGTGAAAATGCAGATTTTTGTTTTTTCATTGTAGCCTCAGAATATTTTGTTGAGCAGTATATGTCCCCTTGGTGATATCAAAATTGTTGACTTTGGTATGTCTCGGAAAATTGGCAATTGCATTGAACTACGAGAAATTGTGGGAACGCCTGAATATCAAGGTAAATCATTGTACACGCCTATACATTGGCATGCTTTTGCACATACGGGTTGATTAATAAAATAAATTTTAGGCACTGTACTCCCTAGACTCACAAAGGGACTCCCTTTGCTATCCTGACTAAGAGAGGAGTCATCATCTTTGGTTCTTTCACAATTAATGGCAGCAGTAGTTAGGAAACCTGAATTCTCTCTATTTAGAGAAGCATGGTTTTAGAGGAATGTATTTGTCTGGGCATGTGCCTGCAGCTACTCAGTTATATTTTTTTGATACTGTATTAGCTGCCAGAGCTGTATCCTAAGGATTTCTAGTACGTATCTGTAGTTTGAGGAGATATTTAGACTCCTCTGCTTTAAGAGCTCTAGTGCTGTACTTCAGGGGAATGCAGTGAAACTCATCAGAGAATTTTCAGTAGCTCAACCAACTACAGAACTCAGGATTTTGCAAGAAGGAGAAGTGGTATGAAATTGCTGTAACTGTGCATTTTATAATACACCCAGGGTGGTTATGTGAAGGTGATCTTGTATTTTTTGCACCAGAATATTTGCTGATTTCATTTAAGTTATGTATTGTGCTCCCAACAGTAGTCACAAGGTGGCTACAGAATGAAAGCTGGGGGGCTAGTAAATGGTTTGGGAGCACCATATGCTGCAGCACTGCTGAGCCAAGTACATTTGGACAAGATGAGGAACTTTGTTGGAGGTCTGTGGTATAACTATTATTAACAGAAAATGTACTTTAAAAAAAGTGATTACATCAGTTGCATATAAATTATGATAGTAAGATTTTTGCATTAACAACAGGTGATATAGTGAGCTGTTAGAAAATGGGGGGTTTGTCTCTTCCTTTGTAGCTGTAGCCAATGGGCACAGCAACGGTCATAGATGGAGGGTAGACTTTGGACCCATCCTGGTGGCATGTACTCACACTGGGCTAATTTCAGCACCTGAAGCAGTGTCAACCCTTTCCCTCTCCCCACTGCAGCCTTCCATTGTACCGAAAACTTGCTATGGTAGGTTTTCCAACCCTCCAGCACAGGTTTTTAGGGCTCTAGGGTGCTGTAGGTGACAGGGTGAATTATCCCCCAATCCACTACTAGAAGCACTCAGTTGAATTTGGGCTGTATGCTACTATTAGCTGACAATTCTACATTATTTACACTGAAGTAGATTGATCACCCTTACCAAATAAAGCAAAATATATGAGAAGTGAAGAGCGGAGGGCACGGTTCAGTGAAGTACTGCTGAAACTAAAGATGGAATGTTTGATAAGGAATCTCAGCAATGAAATAAAACACCATAGTGCTGGCAGTTTTATTATAGACTGGCAGAGCAAAGAAATGGCAGTAAAATGGTAGTAAAGGAAGAGATCATAACATTGACTTGATTCTGTGGATTCAGTTGTGTGTTTCTCTGTGTCTACAACCAGGGTGGGCCACTTGTAGGATGAAGGAACCGCCCCTTCCACATCCGTCTCGTGCCACCCTAAAAATATAAGGCCTACAAAATGGCCAGCTAAACTCCCAGAATTGTCTGGGGACACAGCTGGTCATTTTGTATTTCTGCTGGCAGACAAAAATCTTCCTTTCTAGGCAGGCTTTTATTGACTTGGACAAGTAAGGGCCACTATGTATACTGACCTGAGTGGGCATGGTTTTAAGTGTTTTTAATTGGTGAATTCTAATGTGGTTTGTTTAATTGTTCTTAATATATCTCATGTTCTTAACTGTGCTTTTATATTGTTTTAATTGCTTGTGGACCGCCTTGGTCACCAATGGGAAGAAAGGTGGAAAATAAAATAAAATTTGGGAGAACCTCCAGACATTTTTTTAGATGGGGATGACAGACCATTTTCCAAGGTCACTTCTATTGGGAAAAAAAAAGTTTCTTCGAGGGCAAAAGAGGCGAATAGCCAAAATGATCAGTTCCACACACAGAGAGAGACTCATCCCAAGGCCTCAGTGAGAGGAACTAGTAATCTCATAGGACTTTTCTTTTTATTTTTTCTTTTGTTGGGATGTGGAGTAGAGAGAGGGCTGGAAAAATATATTATTTGGAAGGCCAAAGGGCCAGGGCAGTTTTTCCAAACTTGGGTCCACAAATGGTGTTGGACCTCAGTTTCCAGAAGACTTGGTGGGGCTACTGGTTATTCTCTAAGGGAGAGTGTAAAACCCATTCCATAGAGATTGGGTACACCTTACCTTTTTTTTTTTTTTGTAAACCTAAATTGTAACATTTAGGTGTCTATCTATCATACATATACTGAAACATGCTTGCTAGTCAGGCACTTGAGAGAATTATTTATTTATTCTTAACATCACCCTTTTTCTTCACAGCACCAGAAGTCTTAAACTATGATCCTATTACTACAGCAACAGATATATGGTAAGATCAATTCATAGGAAGTTAGAATTACTTTTAAAATGTTAGCCGTTGTAGTTTCAGCACAAATGTTGATGGTAGAATCTGCTTTTCATTGAAAAACACATCTTTTGGTCTATTTATTTGTCACCTAGAGCAGTTGCTATGCTGGCTGAGGTTTCTGAGAGTTGCAGTCCAAGAACCACCTGGGTTAACCAAAGTTCGGAATCACTGACCTACAGTACAGGAATAAACCATGATCATGATTAGCTAGAGTGATGTCAGTGGGCTGTTGGTTCGGTTGGCTGTAAAGAAAGGGAATGAGGATCATTAATGAATTTAGAACAGAACAGTGTTTCCGGTGTCTCTTTTATCTTTTAGGATGTATAGGGATTTAAAGGAGCAGGGTGGTCCCTAGAGTCTTTGTGTCAGAAATAGAATCCTATACTTTCTTCTTCCTTAAATCAACCATGCAGTAGAAAGATTTTCCCCTTGCTTGAAACAGCCTTGTTCCCTCTGCTTCTAAAATTAGAGTAATTTTTTTTATTTTGATTTAAAATATTTCTAAGTCGCCTTTTAAGAACAGAAGCTCTCTTGTGGTACCTTGTGTGATAAAATCCATACAATAACAAAATACTGTAGCAAGAATAAAACAAACATCAGCAATAAGTCTGAATTGTAAACTGTTTCCCTAACACTTGCTCTGATGCCTTATTAAAATAGACTGAAAATCTGGGAATCTATTAAAGGTAGAGTTTTTGATGCACATACTGGAGCTCTTTGGGAACATTAAGAATCTGGGCTCAGTTCCTTGAGAGTATAATTGGTGTGGTGTCCAAAACAATTTCAGAAATATAATAAGAATGTGTACAGGAGTTGTCTCTGTTCATTCGGTGCAGCCAAGAAACGTCTGGATTGAAGTGCTACTGGGGCTGTAGGTTTCTGGCAGAATTTGAGAATTGCAATGCCTGCTAGGAGGCCTTATGGAAAGACTGTTGCTCCCTATATTTTGCTAATAAGCTTGGAGGATTCCCTGGTAAATATTTTGACTGATACTTGTTATAAGGCACAGCAGATGCAAATGTTGTGCTTTCTGTCTTTGTATGTGGAAAATATCTCTATAACCTTACTTTATTTGGCATAGTTTTGTATAAAATAAGAGCAACATTAAAACATGAACAAAAGAAACTGTCTGAGTGCTGAAATATTGCACAAGAAATATAATAGCAGGAAAACAGTATTCTTTTCTGATTTCAGGAGTGTAGGTGTGATCACATACATGCTCCTTATACACGAATCTCCATTTATGGGAGCAGATAAACAAGAAACATACCTCAATATTTCTCAAGTGAATGTGGATTATTCAGAAGAAACATTTGCGTCAGTTTCACTGTTAGCCAGAGACTTCATCCAAAAGCTGCTTGTTAAAAATCCTGAGTAAGTACTTGGTTGAAGGTGGGTAGAAAAAAGTTAAATTGAATTTCTGTACTATTTTAGTATAAATACGTAGAATAAGTAGGAGACTTAAGTCATATGATAAGGATATTAGTATGACTATAGTATGAATGTATCACAAGCTTAATTTAGATAAAACTCATACTATTTGGTTCTTTATTTTAAGTGCTTTATTAGCAATAATGATGTAAACATGATTGCTGTTTTCCAGAGTCTTACAATTCTGAAATTGGGTTTTAAGACTTTTTGTGTGCTTTGTTATAATATTTCAGAATCTATGCAAAGCTTTATGGTGTGAAACAGGTAGCAGCATTTGATTCTGTATCAGAGTTATTTTTTATCTGTCCTGCTGAGTGTTTTCTCAGCATAAACGTGAACAGCAGTATAAATGGCCCCATGACTCTGTGAGCTTTGCTGTCAAGTTGTTTACCCTTCTTCCCTGATCCAAAATGTCTGACACGTTTAGAATCTCTCTTCAAACAGTGAAGAGTAGTGGAAGCTGTCCCCTTCGTATGTCAGCTTTGTATTGCAGCCCTAATCTGATTTCTTATCAGAGTGATAAGTCAATGCATGCAGGGGAATATCTGTATTTTTAGTGAAAGAAAGGGGATCATCGTAGAGAGAGTGAGAGAGCATTTTTATTTTGCTTTCTTTGACTTCTTGTTGATCCTTACTGCTTATTTCATCCAGCATTCTTTTGTAAGAAGCTCCACTTTTGTAACAAGTTCCACTGTCTGAAATTTCTGGCAAGAAGAACCATCTGTGGCATTCAGACTGCAGTCTTTCATTTGCAGTTCCCTTTGAGAAAATGGATGGTGGGGCAGGATAGTGGGTAGTAACGGAGGCAAGCTATGCAGTATGCTATGGTGGAGGGGTGGCTTGCTGTCTCTTACTCCCAGTTGGTCTTCTGCCAGAAGCTCTTGCTTACAAAGGATAAAGTTCCAACTGAAACCAGTGGGCACAGGCCTTGTGGTGGTGAGCCATCCCTTTGATGGCTCGGCTGTAATGTTCAAATGAGCTCTGTCATTTAAATATATGCCTTCTCATTTTTCTATTTTAAGAGAACGACCAACAGCAGAGGCCTGTCTGACCCACTCTTGGCTTCAGCAAGGAGATTTCTTCTTCTTGTACAGTCCTGAAGAAAGCCCCAGTTGTTCTCCAGCTCATGATCATATGAGCAAGTGCACAGAAGAGAGAAATAATAATAGACCCATGTGTAATGGTACATGCAGCGAGCGGGACGATAAAGAGAATATTCCAGAAGACAGCAGTACAGTCTCCAAACGATTCCGTTTTGATGATTCCTTGCAATATCCCCAAGAACTCCCAACAGACTTTGTATGTTAACAAATGCACTTCTGCCAATTATATTGAACTGAATTTAGGACTCTAATCTACTCCTGTGGCACATGTTTTCAGATTGTGGCTTGTCCACTACTGCGTTGTGGTTAATGTTATCCTGGAAATGCACTTTCAACTGATCTTGTTTTGAGCCTTCTTTGTGCTGCCATTGCTGGCAATGGGCTTGACTCTGGGAAACTGGAGTCTTTGGCACCTGAAGTGGCTGGTCTTTGGAAGCAAACAGGTAACTGAGTATATTTGCACTTTTTACCTTGAGTCCCAAACATGATTTTTGGTGTGTTTAAAATAGGCAAACTGGGAATAAGTATATTTGAATGCCATCAACAAAGCCTCAATAAACACATCATAACCATGTTCAAAGCCAAAGAGTGAAAGCTACGTGAACCTGGCACAGCAGAGAAGTAATTCCTTTTGTTTAAGGCTAGCGTTAAGAGTCTCATGCTGTCATCTTCTGTTGAAAGATTCCAATCAATGACTGATTGGTATATAGGTGTACTACAAAGAAGCTTTTCCTTGACTGAGGCTCAAGTACTTGGACTAGCTTCATTATTGGTAACCCAGTTGTTTGTACATTTACTCAGAATTTGAGTAAATGGTAGTCTTAGTGGGATTTACAGAAAGGTAAGTGTGGAGAGTATTGTGTCATTTTCATGTGTGGCGCCCAAATTATTATTTGCATTCCACAGACCTATCATGCCTAGTTTAGTTAGTGTGCATATTTAATTTTTAAACCTTCTGCTTTCTGTACCCACAAACAACATGGAAGAAGATGAAGGACATTATAGGTGCCATCCATGAAAAGATTTTGAGATATTTCTTTACAAAGTGTGGTATAGATGTCTTGTACCATGCTGCTAAGAGAATCTGTGCAATGCTGTTAATCATTTAAGGGCAGGTTTGGAATTAAGTTTAAAGGCTCATACAAGCAAATCTAGTTTTATTGAATGAGCTTCTTACAAAAGTATGCGGTGTCGGATGTGCTCTTTTAATTTACCTTCTCCACATGAAGTTCATGAAGTTACTTTCCTGAATTATACCTATTTCCATCCCTCATATATCCGTTGATATCATCCACCAAAGATATGTTAATACTGATAGGTGTGTTGTAGCACAAAAGTTTATTTGCCTGTTTATTCAGAGTTAAATCCCACTATGTTCAGTGAGGCTTACTTCAAGGTAAGCATGGATAGGATTGTAGCCTAAAGCCATATATGCAGCAATATTTATCAACACAGGGAAAACGAGAAAAAGTATAGAAAAGAGAATCAGTGTTCTGTATCATTGAACAGCTAATTGTTTGACAAACATAGTAAATGTCCAGTCCTGACATGTGCTGCATCAGTGGTTAGTTACAGAGGTTGCTACTGATTTTGCCAACTTAATCTCACAAAGAAAGATGTGAGGCTAGCACTGCAGCCCAAAGTGCTGGGGTACACATTTATTATCAGGACAGTGCAGATTCAAGTCCACATTGAAAAATTCAGTGCAGAAATGCAGTATTGAAAGCCATATTTTCTTCAGATTGTCAATTAAAAATGTGGGAACTAGGGGATCACAAATTATTGCATCCTAATTTGATTTTGACAAGTATTAATTTTAGACTATTAAAAAATCACAACTCTTATTCCATAAATATACTCCTACTGTGGAAGAAAGGCTAAGAGTGAAACAACATGCCACAATAATGGTTACACCAGCACTTTATAAAACAAAATATGGTAGAAGAAATATATTTCCATTGTGGTATTTTTTAAAAGTTTACATTTCTTACTCTTTCTTCTAGTCTTAGAACTTTTAAAAATGTTTTAAGCAAGTCATCTTTTGTCTCTAGACAATAGACTGTTTCAGATTTTATAAACTTATATATACATTCCGGGTATAACTTGAATCTGAAAATTCTAAATTTTGTTTAAATATCTCTAATTTTGTAAGTTTTCTTATTTGTTTATATATAAGTTTGTATATAATTTTGTTGGAATTATAATTGTTCTTACAATTCTTTGTTTTGCGTTGAATATTAATTGGCCTTTAGAAGTGGGTGTAGATGGTTATGGACACAATATTATGAGGAGCCTGATCTTACATTATTCCACTAAGAATAGCCACCATTGTGCCTTACACCCTGTTCTTATTCAGTAGTAATGCTATTAGAGCTCAGTCCATGCAGGTATGATAAATACAGGAGCAGGGACGACAATGGAACTTTCAGCAGCTTTGATGAGCCTGGAAGGTTGGTACCATTCACTCTACTATGTCTTTGAGACTATTCACATTGGTTAGAGCTGGTCAGGTACAGTATTGCCACCAGCAGCCCTCCTACAGACCATTTCATATGAATGCAAATTTCTTGAAAATATTTTCTATTTAATAGCCTGCAGAAGAAACAGAACCTCTGTAGATGTAGCATTTTGACACAGCCGTTTTCCATGTCAGGTGAGAGGTACCAACTCCTGCCATAAACAGGACCACAAGTATTCACAGAGCATACACAACAGAGCATACACAACCGCACATCCTTGAAACCAACTGTTGAAAAAGCCTATCTGTTTCCGAGGTCCTGCTACATTCTGATTCCATGTATTCTCAATTTAACTTAATGGAAGTTGCCTCCATCCAAAGCAGATATATATTAATCTGCTAAATGTATGGATCCCTTCCGATTTTGGTCATGTCTATTGATTAAACAGTCAGCTTCTTGTATTTGATATCAAGTGTTCTAAGTATTTAGAGCTTATCTCCTAATGGAGAAAGCACCTGAACAGATAATGGGGCAGATTATCCAGTATGTGTCCAAAAAAAGGCATGTGATAGAACCTTGGAAAAATCAGTGCTCTCTTGACAGGAATCCTGTTGGTATGTATTAAAAAACTCACACAGGTATGCTGGAATTTGAACATGTAATATCAAAGAGCTGACCATGTTTTTGAAGACTGCCATATCTAACCACACCACATGGCAATTTAAGCATTTTTTAAAAATTGCTGTTTTGGCAAAATCTGCTTGCATGCCAAAAAGCAAGCCCTAAAAAAAAAACCTGGATTAGGAGAAAAGTCTGCCGGTGTTCTTGATTTGTTTCATAACTAACTCAAGTTTTTCTGTTTAAGGAAAGTTGGCAGCCTCTCCCCATCTGGGTGATTTTACACTAAAAGTTAAAATGTGGGGAACACATCCATTTTAATTGGTAGGATTCTAGTTTCTTAGTTCAACACTAGTGTGCTTTTGAGGGCACTCCAGATATGTATTTTGTTGACTTTTCATCTCTTGGAGAGATGGCACAATTAAAGCAGCAGCTCAGTTGTCGTATTTCAGTTAATTAAGACCAGTCTGTCCCCATTCTTCCTCCAAAACTTCAGGATATTTTTAATTTGCTCTGTCTTTAATCTGTTGAGTGGAAACTGAAGCAACTGCTAGATTCAAATATATTTATGCCCAACACGGCTTTGTTTTTCTTGTGTGAGATCAAATGTAGAAATCACAATGGATTGTGGGGTGAGGCAACATCAGTTAACAACAAGCAACTTTGGGATGGGGGTAACCACAATGGATTGTGGGGTGAGGCAAAATACATCAGCTAACAACAAGCAACTTTGGGATGGGGGTAAGACTTAAACACAAGGTTGTCTAGGGACTAATCACATCAAAAAGGGAATGGGTGGGATCTGTGTTAGCAAGGATGGGTAGATATGGAAATAGTCTGACAGAAAGCCAGAAAATCATTTGCCCCCATCCTTGTCCACCAGACCGCAAAGGCTGTTGTAAATGTGAAATTGCAGAGCAGGGCCACAAATGTTACTGTGACTAGAGACAATGTACAACACAGGTTTACTGTTGCAAACAGAAGCATGTTTTGAGGGCAATTCCCCCTGAAGCTCAGCTTCTCAGGCCTTGAGAAGGCTTGATCCACGACCATTTATTTGCCGTTTTCTCACTATGTAGGGGAAAGTTAAGGGAAGTGCGGCGGGGGAAGCTGGGAGAGGGGCTTTCCTAAATAGAACCAAAAACTTTAAACAGTTAAAAAAAACTTTGAACTTATAAAGCAGCATGCAGTCTTTACATAACATGACTTTTGAGGAAGCCCTTCAAAAAGCAGAAAGCAAATCTTAATAGCAAACTCGGGCACTGAGTTTTGACAGGTAATCCTAGTGGGGCTACTGAAAAGTAAGGGCAGTATCGGCATGTTCTGAGAAGTCCTGGATTTTACAGAAGGTCAACACGTGAGAAGGGTTAATTTTGGGATAATCCCAAACAGCCAAAAGGGCACAGAAAGACTGGAGCAACTGCAAAAGGATGTGTGCTGTTCTGAAAATAACCACAGAAAATTGGGTTGGAAAGGCTGGCTGGTTGGCTGAGACCCGAATCAGAATGTACACAGATGATGCACAAGAACCTTTGGTGCTATGTTCTACTTGTTACTAATAGGCATCTCCCATGATTTTCAACTCTTGTCCTCCCGTCAGCTGACAGTAGCACAGGTTGTCTCTAGCCCACTCTGTTGTATTATCTGATAGGTTAGACTGAAGGAACCTATGGGCTCTTCAAGCTTTATGGGTCTATATATACTCATGCTTGCTTGTGTCCTGAAGCAAAATTTTTTCATTGGCAATGTAACTCTTGTATCCATTTCAACACACTTGAATAACAAGATGCAGGAAGACTTCATTGATTTCCTTCTTTTGAAAGCCTTTTGAAAGTCACAGATTTAAACTCAGAATGTCATAGTAGAAAAAGGTAAAGTGAAAAAGAGAAATGAAATGGTACTGCTGCTGACTTGAACATGTGAAACAAAGTGAAGTAAAAAAATGCGAGGAACCTTGCTTGGAGCTCAAATAGCACGTTAATATTCTATGAGATTTTTTTTAAATTGTGCCATCTTCTAGCTCTGATCACTTCTTTAACCTTAACAATTGTCATCTACAGAACCCTAGCACTGGCAGTAGTGGGGGAATAAAAATCTGCCACAGGGGAAGTTGAGAAACATACAACATTTTTAAAAGAAACCAAGGTTTAAAAGAAAAGTACAGGGATGTTTCAGCTTAGAGTAACTGATTCCAGTGCTTCAACTATGTATGCATATTTAAGGAAATTATATGTATTGTATATCATACTATATTTTTATATATCAATATTTATAGTAATCTCCTTTTCTACTGAGGTTACTGTGATCAGAAGAACCTTAAAATAATGTGAACGTGCAACATAAATGTTAAAAGTTAATAATACAATGAAACATTATAGTGCAATAAAAGTAGTAAGCAGAGACAGGCCTAGCAACCAAGAAAAACACTTAAAAATAAAGTTTCTATGACATTCATATAGTGAAATCATGTTTGGTAGAAAAGTATTGATGTGTGCACAGTAGTTATTCA